ATTCAACAACACTATTACTGCAAATGCAGATTTTAGGAAAGGTGGAGAGGTGTTTGGATACTGATACCAAGGAAAAACTTGTTTAGGTTTCAAAGAACCCTTGTCTTCTAATTTTAATTTTGTGAGAAAAAATAAGAAAATATTTTACATGAGAAAATAACACAGGTGATAACAGTTCAGCTGAACATAGAAACCCTCAGTGAAACTGAATTCAGGGCTCCATCAGTTTAACATAAGTTTCTTTCATGTTATTTTATGCCCTTAAATTTACAACTTTTAACTTTCAAAACAACAACTTGTCCAAATGTATTTGTACATTATTATAGAAAAATTTGCAACTTATTTCCAAATTCATGACTACAAATTTTTCTTGTACATGTGTTTTGTTTAGTTAAGCAACGTACATTAATTTGTTGTATGTTAATTTATGGAGCCCTGCCTGTATTTGCCTCATTAGACCGTAATCTAAGTGTATCCTATTTTACAGAGAAATTTTAATGAATAATGGCACAGCTGTAGATGCGGCCATTGCTGCCCTATTCTGCAATGGAATTGTGAATGGCCATAGTATGGGTCTGGGAGGTGGATTCCAAATGGTCATTTATTCTGCCAAGGAAAAGAAAGCCCATGTTTTGGATGCAAGAGAAGCTGCACCTCTATCATCTCACCCCAATATGTTTACGTCTAAAGAAGAAGCCCGAACTGGTGAGTCATTGCATCTCATGTTTCAAGCACAATCTTGATGAAAACTAATTTTATTTATTTGTTATTTTGAAAGGACCTAGAGCTGCTTGTGTACCTGGAGAGCTTCGAGGATACTGGGAAGCTCATAAAAGGTTTGGAAGGCTGGAGTGGGCTGAACTAATTGCACCAAGCATAAAAATTTGCCGCAATGGCTATGCAATGACAATGCATCAGTACATGTCTCTATCAAGAAACAAACTAGTGAAAGTTGACTCCACATTACGGTACGAAGTTACAGTAACCTTTGTCATTTTGTCATTCCACATTGGTGTCATGAGCAAACTTTAATTTTTGGTTTATCTCCTTCAGGGAAACATTTATTGACCCAAATACAGGAGAATTTCGTCGAGCAGGAACACTTATAAAGCTGAATAGACTGTGTGATACTCTTCAAACAATTGCTGATGAAGGTGGAGATGTATTGTATAATGGTACACTAGCAAATGTTTTTGCCCGTGACTTGGTAGATCTTGGAAGTCTTATCACAAGAGAGGATTTGAAAATATACCAGTAAGTTCTTAATTCAGTTGACAAATAACATACAGTAAAAATTTGCAGAAAAATATTACTTTTTTTTTTTTTCAGGCCACGGTGGCGTGAACCAGTAACTGTAGAGCTACAAAATGGTATTAAATTTCACAGTGTGCCACCACCTGGAAGTGGTGCTTTACTTGCTTTTGTCTTAAGTTTTTTAGATGGTTATGGGTTCAACAGCAGAAGTACGGCTGATGTTCCATCAGCCGTCACAACTTATCATCGTATAGTAGAGGCATTTAAATATGCATATGGCTTTAGGACCAAGCTGGGTGATCCTGATTTTGTTGATGTTAGAAAGGTAAATTGATTCATTTTTCCTTATGTTTTAGGATTTTTTTTGTTTCTAATTGTCAGATTATTTTCTAGGAATTAGAACTTTTGACAAGCCGCAGGTATGCTGATGAGCTCCGTAGAAACACAATGGATAATTTCACAAGCTTAGATGCTTCAAAGTATGGAGGTGTTTTCTTTAATCCTCCAGATGCTGGAACAGCTCATGTTTCTGTTATTTCTGAAGAAGGTGATGCAGTATCTGTTACCAGCACCATTGATATATAGTAAGAATTGCAAGTTTTAAAAAATTCTACTTGTTTGTCACATAACTGCAGCACATCATTTTTCCAATGGTACACTAATTTTTGCAGCTTTGGTGCTGGGGTAACTTCTCCCCAAACAGGCATTACATTGAGCTCAGGCATGGACGACTTTTCCTGGGAAAAATTTAAAAACTATTTTGGCCTTCCCGGGTCGCCCTCAAATGCAGTTGCTCCGCAGAAACGACCATTGTCCTCAATGTCTCCATCTATTTTGGTCGATAGAAATGATGAAGTGCGTCTGGTTGTGGGAGCCTCTGGAGGAACTAAAATTCCAACGGCTATTGCAAATGTTAGTATATAGCCCTGCTTGTTCTTTTTGGTTTGTTAAAACATATTTTAACAGGATCTAAAAAATGTAAAACTAATTTAGGTCATCATAAGACATTTATGGTTTGAGGAATCCATTAAGGAAGCTGTGGATGCCCCTAGATTCCATCACCAACTGCTCCCAATGGAAATATCATATGAATTTGGGACTCTTGATGTAAGTATTGTGAATTATCATAGAAATGAACAATTGAGTCTCCTCTCCATAGTATGCTACTAAAAAATTTCAGGGGTCTGTAATTCACCACATCTAAAGTTGTGCGATAGTTTAGTTATAAAACATAATAATTATTTGTTTCAAAAAAAAATTACAATTGAGTTTATGCTTTGTCAAAAATTATTACAGTAAATGTCACTTTAATCCGGCACACAGACTCTACTCTACAACTTAACGTTTCACTAGTCACCCATAAGATGCACTTAATATGACATCAAGGGTCCATGAGTGTTAAGTTACTGACCCTTGAAAATTTTGCTGTTCCTGCATAGCTAAAAACAATCAAATAATCTTTACAGCAAATTGTGAAAGGGCTGGAGAAGATTGGCCATAAGACATCAAGATATCGTGCTGCATCATCTGTAGCATGTGCGATAAGCAAATTCAACAACACTATTACTGCAAATGCAGATTTTAGGAAAGGTGGAGAGGTGTTTGGATACTGATACCAAGGAAAAACTTGTTTA